TATTTCTTTTTAAATTTAATTAGAATAATTTATAAAACTTCTTTTAAAATCTTTTAAATTTCTGTATTACTTTGTGCGTTTTAAGGGATATTGTTATTAAGTGAAAACTATATTTACTAATCATAAATGGGAAAGTTTATTACAATTCATCGATGCCCAATTTTGTAAAAGAATTTTGAATTTATTTTGTATGTTCGTAAACGTCCGATGTTTGCAGATACGGTTGTTCATACACAACATTATCAGAAAATAAGAGCAATAACTATAGTCAATTTAAAGCCGGAATATCTAAATTCCAATAAAACATTAAATTACGGTGAGTATTTTCCAAATTTATAAGATTGCAGAGTACTTCAAAATCATATAAAAAAGTTGCTCATTTTATATTCTTCAATTATTTTACAGATATATCCACCGTAGAAAAACATTAGATAAACTTTCATTTAAAATGTGAACATGTCAACACCTTAAATAAACAGCTACCTCGTGTTAAAAAAATTCATTTCTGTGAGATTTTGAGCTTAAAGTAAATATTTGTTTCAAATCAGATGAATTAAACATTATATCAACTAATATTCCTCAAATAAATTTTCAGGAAAGTATATTTTATTTTGGGGAGATTTTTTAATGAAGAGAATTACATTCTGATAAAAATGGTGCTAAAAATTTCAAAACGAAAACTCTTTCCAGTTAATTTAAATTAGTTTTGAAATAGAGTAAAGTATTTTGCTTATTGGAAATAAATAATATATCAATGAAAATGAAACTGTGGATGGCCACGATTATTAACTTGAAATTAAAACTAAAATAAGGGCTTCAAGAATTTTTTTTTTCATTTACAAAAATTGATTTTAAATCTCAGGTATCGCGTTTGATAATACCTACATTAAATGTACCCGTTTTTATGATTGCCATCAGTCTTAATGTACTGTCTTTTGTCTATGCTACTTCCGGTGATGCAGAGAAGGTAATCCCGATATGACTTGACATTTAATTTTCAATCGTTTTTCTTCTCAAACTACACATTGCTCTCGTTCTCACTCTCATTTTCTTTCTCTGTTTGTCTGTCTCTTTCCATATATATATACATATATGTGTGTGTCTGTGTGCGCACGCGCGTATAACGTATCTCTGTGTATCAAGGACGTTCTACTCTCAAGGGGGCATCCCAAGTTTTTTTCGTAATATTTTGAAAAAAAAAAAAAAAATACGTGTTCTTTTTTTCACCAACTTCCTTCCATTTTTGCCACATGCCTCTTATTTATTTATTTTTTCATTTCAGTTTTTTTTTTTTTTTTTTTTTTCTTAAAACATTATTTCCTTCGGAATTGTAAGTATGGCAGGTCGGACAATGTCATGTATTGCAGATTGTTTTGTAAAGGTGAAGAAATGTTAGAGTTTCGGCGGCAGACTATTTTTTGTTAATATATATATATATATATATATATATATATATATATATATATAGATAGATAGATAGATATAGATAGATAGATAGATGCCTTTGTGCAAATTAACTGAAACAACCGCTTTAGTTTCCTTTCTTTCATATACGGTCATTTTAGACCCACTGGATTGACAGGGTGTAATCGATTTTCTGTTTTTTTTTTTTTTCTCAGATTAGGCCATTTGCGGTGTTGTGCAGTAATATGAATCTATTTTCGGGGTGTATGATGAAATTTGTTTGGCCTTGAAAAAATATTGTGTCATCCACGATTGCAACAGATTTTTATCACGCCCAGACACTATTATTTCGACTGTCAATTAGTTGTCTTACGGCCACTGTTGTCGATGGACGTTACTCCAAGGAAATGTACGAAAATTGTAACGCTGCTCGAATATACTGGCAAATCTTACCAGTGAGCAAATCAAAGAACTGTAGAATGGCCTGAAAACTCTCCTGATTTAAATCCAATCGAGAATCTGTGCTCACTCTGTAAGGAACGACTTTCTGGAATGGACATACAAAGTACTCACATGTGCATTGGGTTATTTTTCATAGGAAAAATACGAAAAAAAAAAAGTAAATAATAACGGAATTATTCGTTATGTTTCAATTAATTTTGACAAGGGTGGATATGTATCATCTGTTGTTCCAGTTTTAAGAACTCGGGGGCGGGGCGTCTGATCCTTTCAAATACCGGGCTCTTCGCCTACTAACACTTTGATAGAAACTCCTAGACGCCTTAATCAATGCTGAATTGGTTCATCTCTCACTGCAGAGCCTTTATCTCAAACAAGCAATATGGCTTTCGTTTCTTCAGGTCTGCTGATGTTCTGACGATAATTGCGGAGTCTATAATGCTCTAGATCTGCGCATTGGACATCTCGAAAGCCTTTGAAAATGTCTTCCCCTCAAGCTGAAAAGTTACGGTGGTCCAAAACGACGCCAAGTCCGTCGCTAACTGGGGCAAAAGATGCCTTGTTAATTTTAACTTCTCCAAAACTGAACTTATCTCGATTAATCATCTGAGAGACTCCTTCCATAAGCATGGCTGATGCTAGCTTCCTGGAAAGTGATTCGTTACACCTTTTCGAGTTCATGTTCTCTACTGATATGAAGTGAAAAGACTATATTGAATCCATTGCTAGGTCAGCTGTTCAGAAAATCGGTTCACTATGCCGGGTGAGACAGTTTTTCTCTCCAGAATTTATCTTACATATTCATAAGTCTATCATTCGTCCATAATTAGAATATTCCTGCCACATATGGTCCAGTGCCCCTGATATTTACCTTGAACTCCTAAAGAAGAATCAGCAATATTATTTGTCTTGACCTGGCGGCTCGACTTCAGTCACTTTCGCACCGTCGTAAAGTTACTTCTCTCTGTCTTTTCTATAAATACTGTCATGGTAATTGTTCAAATGAGTTCTTCGCTATGGTACCTAGAGTTTTTTGGTTTTTTTTTTAATCTAAGCGCAGCACTAGGCTGGCGTCGAAATCTCATCAATTTACAATTAAGCTGGCTAGATATTTAATCCATAAATTCTATACTAACAATTTCTTCTCTCGCACATCTCGCTTGTGGAATTCTTTCCCGGCTTCATGCTTTTCAACCAACTTTAATCTTCAAAAATTTAAATGCAATGTCAATCGCTATCTATTGTCCTGATTACTCACTTCTCTTTCTGCTCATCATTAATGTTTCTGTTCCTAATTCTTCCCTTGTGCCTTAGTGGCATTATTGCCTTGCTTGCGGTGATACCCATTAAAAAGAAAATATAAATTTGTGCGTGTGTGCGTGTCTGTGTCGTGTAGGCATTATTTATATAAGCAATAGAATACATCAGCAACTTTTATTAAATCCATTCATAAAGAATCTCACGTACATTTAAGTTCCACGTCGGGTGTTGTCATAAAGTCTTCTCCAGATCAACACAGGAACAGTGTCCAAGCATAAATAATTTCTACTAGACACACACAAACACACACACACACACACACATATATATATATATATATATATATATATATATATATATATATATACATTTTCTTCCGAATGCAGCAAATACAAGCTAGAATTATGATACATGCGTGTATGTTCGTGTGTGTGTAAAAACTCAGTTATAAATAAAGATAAACTTTTTTTTTTCATCAACGCGTTCCAACCGTAAATTTAAGAATTCACTTTGCAACATGTATTTATGAACGGGAGTAAAAAATATCGTTAACTTTTAGAAATTTTAAAATTAAGAAGGCTTTAAAATATTCATCAAGCTGTGCAATTCAAGTTAAACTATGCAGGATGCTAAGTGATGAAATTTAATTAAAAACAAAAATAAATTTAACGCGTTTAATATCCCAGAAGAGACGAAACGCAGTGGTAAAAAACTTTTCCTTTTGTTTTTACACACACACACACACACACACACACACACACACACGCACTCACACACACATACATATTCACACACACACACACACATATATATATATATATATATATATATATATATATATATATATATATGTAGAGACAAGTGGAAAACTATACTTAGCCTAAAAGTATCTGGAATAAGTATAGTTTTCCTCTTGTTTATTTTATTCTTTTGTCTCTTCTCCATCTGAGAATATTTAGATGTATATATTTAGAAAATATGAAAAACTGGAAACTGTTTTTGTGACGCGTTTTATCATCGAATGAAGCGAATGAAAAGACAGTTTCCGTTTGTCATATTTTTTTTATTTTTTATAATATATATATATATATATATATATATATATATATATATATATATAAACGTCTTTGTGTATTTTTTAAAGTTTATGTGTTTATGTGTGCGTCGATAGATAGATAGATAGACTTTTAATCTATACACTAATTTTGATATAAAAGCTAAATTTACGTCGCCCGCTCCCAGTCAGTGACTTGTGAGGACAGTTTACAAACTACAGTACTGATCTATGTTAGCCTCTTGTTTCTAATGAATACAGAGACATTCATATGTGCAAAAATATTTTCCTACTTAACGTGATAGACATTTAAGATATTCCAGGCTGCCATTTTCCGTATGTCATGCCTTATCTCAGGCGTATTGTCTCAAAACTACCTCATAGGAAAGGGCACAAACTGTCAGGGCTTAATCCTTGGTAGCAACGGGATTTGTCCATCTCTTGACTGTTGTTTAATCCAACTTTATCCGCCTGAAGATAAGTGTTTTTATTTCCCGCCATAATCCAGCAGAAGAAAGAAAAATAACAAGCGATATAAAACTGGCCGACCTTCTGGCGCGAATTTGACTTTTCGTGTAAGCATCGCACAGGAAAAAGGGGGAGGATACGAATGCATCAAAGATTTTATTTGAACTTTATAGGATTTGAGCGTGGAAAATATGACAGTTATATAATATATATATATATATATATATATATATATATATAGGGATAGGTGGATAGTGAATTTGTGTGGATTATGTAATATTATGTAATGTTATTTTATGGTATAACGCATGCGTATATCTATCATAATATGTTTCTACCACTGTTTTTCTGTTAGTCTCATTGTACAAATCTCGGTCCGCGGATCTATCTATCTATCTATCTATCTATCTATCTATCTATCTATCTATCTATCTATACTGGCATTCAGTTCCTATGTTAAAAAGCTCGCTCAAATCTCATAGAATATTTCTTTATTTACAACCGATGTTGCCTGCTTTAAGTCTGTCTGTAGAATGTAGCGACTTGAATTTTTGACTTAAAAGTCTCTATAAAATAAAATAAAAACTATTCAAAAGTTGCTAATAAATGTTGTATGAAATTCATGATGTTAACCTATGACCATTTGTCCAAGAGAGTAAACAAACAATATGGTGTGAGTGATTAAATGAGAAAACTGGAGCTCTATGACTACCATGGACATCGCAGTATGTGAAATAAAAGTGTTCGTTATTTTTTTGTCACAGTACTGGTACTGCTATAGAAACGGTTGGTCTGCTGCAGAAGGGGATATAGGTTCGATTCCTGTTGGAGGCTTGTATAATGATTGTTAGTGCCGCACTTCAATGCCATGTTCAGATCAAGCACTCTCTCTCTCTCTCTCTCTCTCTCTCTCTCTATATATATATATATATATATATATATATATATATATATATATATATATATATATATATATATATGTAAAAAACAATGTGGCGCACGGCGAACAATAGCAATACCTCGCTCGCAGATCTAGTTTGCAATACATTTTAAAACATACACACACCCATGTATATAATATATATATATATATGTGTTTGTCTCTCTGTGTGTGTGTGTGTGTGTGTTTCTGTGTAAATATGTAAAGTTATGTCAGTAGTTGCATCATTGTATCCTTAAGTGACTTAGTTAAGTAAACTCCACAAAATGTGGCTCCGAGCGTGCTTACCAGCCATTTCTATTTGTCTCCTCTCAGATATAAGCGGCGTTGCAGGCCTTGAGCGAGACTCAATTTAGAAGCTAAAAAGCGTTTGTTGTTTTTACTTCCTTGTCAGAAAGAAAAAGGCAACGCTGAAGCGTTTGGCGTCAAACGAATACTTTTAATGAAGTGTGTGCGCCGCTTAAATATTCCTCGCGACAAGCATTTTATGTTTGTTTCGTTTTATCTTTCGCTAATCTTTCTGCATATTCCTTTCTTCGAAAAAAAAGTGATTCCTTTTTCTTCATCTTCTTCTTCCAATAGATTTTAATCGCTTTAGAATTCCTTTTATAGATTTGTTTATTGCTTGTTTTACTTATTGTTTACCGTTTGACATTTTACAAAGTCGTGAGGTTGATTTTTTCTTTCTACTAACTCTTGTAGTTTCATTTATTTTGCCTTCAACCTTTTTTCATTTCTTCTTCTTCTTTTTTTTCTTCTTCTTCTTTTTCTTCTTCTTTTTCTTCTTTTTCTTCTTCTTCTTCAACACATTCTTTATCGTTTCCTTTTTATTCTTTTCTTATTTTCTTTTCTCATTTGAATGTCTTAATTCATGCTCGTTAACATTTTCGATTTTACTTATGCTACTTTTGTTGTTGTTCTACTTCTTCTTCTTCTACACTTTTACCACGAGACCAATTCAGTTATTCCTTATGCACTTCCCTCACTCTTTCTCCTTTTTTCTTCTTCTTCTTAATGTTGTATTGTACAGTGACAGTATTCCTTAAAAAGCAACATTCAAAATCTTGACAACTATACGTGAAGCCAATCGGACATATGCGACTAACTCAGCCACCTGACTGGACATTGTCCACCGATATACATTTAGTTACAGAGACAAATAAACAGGTGCATATCACGGAATTCCTATGTACACTATGTCAGATATGTTTGTCTTTTCACAAATTTGACCTTAACCAATTTTCTCACTGACACTAAGTAGTGTCTTTTCTCTTTTTTCCACACAATCAAAACGTAATAGTCTATTATTTATGAGGTACTGGCTGAGCGTAACGGTCACGCGAACTAATGAAAGGAGGGACTATAATAATAATAATAATAATAATAATAATAATAATAAAAACTAATTAAAGCGAAGTCCATGCCTTAAAGAAATACAAAAAATTGTTCTCACGAATACAGACCACACCTTACAAAGGGCTTTATCTATGTAAAATATATATTTTTTTAATTAGGTCTCTGGGCGGGACCCGGAAAGAAATGTGTACACACCAGAAATCAAGGGAAATAATAATAATAATAATAATAATAATAATAACTCATGGGTGGGTATAAATTCCATTATGCAAATTAACTACATCATAAATTTTAAATTATGAATTTTTTATTTAAAAGATATACAATAAAGAATTAAGTAACTCATAATGCTGTACATCCGAATACATTATTATTTTATTAGTCTCCATGTTGATATGGGCTTCGTTGGTATTGTATGACCTTCATCAGCTTTTCAGTCTTTGAGTGAAACAAAAAATTTCTACTCTTTTGAATGCAGCATTACTTGTGATAGAGTAATTGGCTTTCTAAATATCTTCTTAGCTAGAATATTTTTTCCATTCTCATATTTTCTTTAATAATAGAATCAGTTGGATAGAAATATTCTGTGGAGGATGGAGGTATTCCATTAATTTTTTTGTTTTTTTTTTTAAACATTTTTATGTTTAACTCAAAAATACGCTCTTAAGTAGGCGCCGGAGGGGGGTCGCCAGTGATGTAATTTGACTTAGTTCATCAGGGAGTTTCGGGTCTTTCAACATCATACACCCCATCACCAATCCCTGATTCCCCCTCACAATCAGACGCTAACAGCTACTCTGGCCTTTTAAATGAATTAAACGAAAATAGACCACGTTTTCCCGATTGGATGTTTGTAACAACCAATCCACTGTTCGGACTATCTTTTAAATGGCCCACGGTGGGGACTGACTTCTTTTCTTTCTTTTTGGGTGGATAGCATTTTACAAATAACCGAAGGTAATCCAAAGTTCCTAAATTTAACCCTTTTTTTCCTAAGTACGGTTTGATGTCTTACTCTAAATATGTGTCGCTTTGATTTTACTTGAACTCTGGGGGTGGGGAGACATAAACTCAACCCTACTATCATATTTTTATCGTTTAGCCTGATACTTAACATTATTACAGGTCAGTTAGCTTTAAATGGATGGATTCGCAAAATGAAAATACTTGTCCATATATATCCCGTATGTTTTGACGGTACACAAAAATAAATAAATAAATAAATAAAACACTATAATATTCCTTACAAATTTGGAGTCGGTTAAAATATAATAAACAACGTAAGTAATCGTCAGCTTTTTAGAATGGGAAAAGTATTGTCTTAGGAGAATCAAGTTTTCTGTTTAAGAGTGACACTCAAAAGACGACTAGTCAGAACCTCTACACTTATTTCTCTGCATTGATCTTGATACAATCAACAAATTTGAAAACTTCAGCAATTTTGCTGTCTGCAAAATAAAAACATTATTCCACCTTATGTCCTCTAAACTGTGTTAGTTGACGATTTCTATGAAGGACCTAACCTCTGGCACAACTATTCTGCTCCATCCAATAGAGCCCTACGCTTGTCACGAAAATGGCTATGCAGAAATCAATTTTTATGGATTTCTTCGATCTTCGATCAATAAATGCGATTTTCTTTGTCGGGTTTACTTCCTGGTGGTAATTTGGTTATTTTCATATCTTTCATCAATTTTCTTAATATGAGGCATCTTTTCATTCTGTTTATATTGTTAACAAATATTCTTGTTGTTGAGCAATCCACTTTATTTTGGGTTATAAAGAGATTTCAAAAAAGGATCAAAACGATCTTTTTAATCATTTTCTGAAATCTCTTTTTGTAATCTTTCTTTTCTTATTTTGCTAATGTGGACACTTTGTATTTTGTTGTATAATTTCTGTTTAACTTTATCACACTTTCAAATGTTCTGTTCATATCATTGAATAACTTTCAAATACGTTTTTTGGCAATGTTTATAAGAGTGAGATTTAAAATCACTGACTATAACGAATATTTTTGCAAGAAAATATATATATGGGTTAGTATATATATATATATATATATATATATATATATATATATATATACATACATATATATATATATATATATATATATATATATATATATATATATATATGGAGTTATATATATATTTATATATATATATGGGTTAATATATGTATATATAAATATAAGTTAAGTATAAGTTAAGTACTATTTTTATTAGCACGTACTAACTTAACTTATATTAGTTAAAACAAAATTAAAGCCTTTTCGATTCACTTCCCTCTCCTCCTCTATCTTTGCCGTAACACTCATTTAGGTATATCTGTATTACTTGTCTGTCTCCTCTCTCCTTTCCATTTTTCCTTTTTTTTCCCCACTACCCTCCCATTCCCATATATCATTTCCGTTAAGTTAACCATCTAAATAGGTCACGATTAGGTCACTCCTCCTACCCCAATATAAAACATGCTTAAGAGAAATATGAAATTTACCCCTCTCTATACTATACCTTGTCTCGTTGATCACCCTCCCTGTTAAATTACAAAAAATTACACTACCCATCAATTTCTAATCCCATTTTTCCTTTCATTTTCGTTGTTGGAAGTGTTACCTGATGATCCGGAGTCCTTCAAAAAAGGATTTTGGTGAAATAACTTATTGTAATGGTACCTTAAAGTGGTCTGCTTTTTTTTTCATTAAATATTAGCTCTGGATTCACATTGAGCTCTCAGGATTTCATCCTTTTGGAATTACCCATTCGGTTTACCAAGTTATTCGTAACTTAACTATATATATATATATATATATATATATATATATATATATATATATATATATATATATATATATACATGTGTTATATATATATATATATATATATATATATATATATAAAGATACATAGTCTTAAGGTGTGCTATATTTATGGGATAAAGTGCTCAATATCAGAGATAGAGCGTGTGTAAATATAAATGTGAACATAGAAGTCAACACCTAGAGGCGACAGTCTGTTTCATGCTAGACGCAATCGTCAGGCCATATATATATATATATATATATATATATATATATATAACCATTATATATATATATATATATATATATATATATATATATATATATATATATATATATATATATTGATAGATATATATCGAACTGACTCTATCTAATTTCTACATGTGTCATTTCGTTATATCTTGGACCGGTTCTATCTAGTTTTAAACACAATTTCAAGACTTATTCATTAATGAATGAATATTTTATTGAATAGGTTATTTTATTAAAAAAAATCCTTGAGAAAATATTGGTGGGGGGGAATGTTTCATTCCCCACTTTTCGATATATCGTGTGTATACTCTTTAATTTGTAAATTTTAATTAGGAAATAATTCAGATATTAGTGCGTTGACTGACTAATTATTCAATTCGTATAGAATTTAAAAAGTTATATTTTTAAAATATTGGTTTTATAAGGTTAAAGTCTTGCGTATTATTTAGGTTTTATTTTCTACTTTTTCTTGTTCCGTTTCGAACACAGGTAGAATTAGTGTCTTTTTACTTTGTCCTTTGACCTCACAGGATCGAGTTCGTAAACAAAACGTTATTTTCATTCTGTTTTAAGTAAAAGGTAATCATTAATTTGAGAAAATCTAGTTAATTTAACCTTTAATTTAATAATAGGCTTCGAAACATTTCTAGGAAAAATATTGGATTTTACAAGGAATTTTAAATTTGTTGTTTACATTTTTCGTATACAATGGCGACTCTATGAATGACGATAAAAGTACTTTAAAATGTTTAAAAAGTTTATTTATATACGGAAATTATTTTTTCTTTTAATTCATATTGTCTTTCAAACAGAACCGAAATTTAAGTTCAAAGAAGTTTAAAATATTTAAAATATGTTTTTTGGTTTTGTTTTTATAAAGTCCGTGGCGGTACCTAAGATGGGTCTATTATTGTTCCAGGACTATAGCTTTCATGTGAAACATACCTTTAATGCAAACATTGCTCTGCGGGGAAAAAAATTTCTTTTAGAATGGAATTGCAAACTGATATCACATTAAAGGCCTTTCCATTAAAATAATAGTAACCCCGGAGTGACAATTTATACCAATTTTAGTATATTCAATATTATAATTTACAACGGTGAAGACATTAAATAAATAAAAAAAAACGCTATCATTTGCTTTGTGAGATTCATAATTCATAAAGTATGGATGCCTCCTTTTTGTGCATTTAGTTTCACTTTTCTAGGTATTTTTTTTAAATCATAATTATATTTTTAATATATATACTTTTTTCTTCCACACACTTATTTCAATATATATAACGACTGCAAATCAGCGTGAATTTATTTATTTACCATCAAGTCATGTGACACAATTTTGCAGCCATACAGATTTTTTTTACAATGACACACCCACATAGCCACTTTATCTATCCAATATATTTGTTCATAAAAAAAAGGTTCTAATATTATGTAGAGGA